TCATTACGTTAAATTAATTATGTATTTTCGTTAAATTAATAATTTTTCATTAAGAATAATGATTGCGATTTAATTACTACATATTTAATGTAATTTAGTAAGAGCGTCAACTATGTAATTTTTGCTTTTATATGCACAATATTGGGTTATTTTTGAATCGTTAATATCTACTTAGTATAATTTTTATTCTATTACAACTATTTAGAATAATTGAATTATTATTTAAAATAATCCTTATTCTGTTAGAACTATTTAGAATAATTATATTATTATTTAGAGTAATCCTTATTTTATTAGAATTATTTAGAATAATTATATTATTATTATATTTAGAATAATTCTTATAATTATTAGATTATTCTTATTAGATTAATCTAATCAAATAAGAATATTATATAGAGTATTCTTATAGTTATTATTAGAATATCATTAGAATAATTCTAAGAATAATTTTTCTGTTCTATTTAGAATAATTCTTAGTATAATTTTTCTTAAGAAAATGTAACAATATTCTTATTTCATTTTACAATGTTTTCACTGGCATTTCCTAGTTTGTTAATGGTCTCCTTTGATGTTGCTTTTGTATTGTTACCATCTTAAACCAAGTATCCTTTTCTCGTGGGAATAACTGTGTGCTCAATAACTGTGATGTCATTCGGAATAGAAATCATCATTTTCAATTTTTGCTGTTTACACTTATTTTTCCCTCTCTGGGATTATTTTGGCAACTTCAGATGTTGCTTTAATTTTTTTTTTTTTTTATGTTGGTGTATTGTTTAATATGATAAAAGTGAAGGAAATGAATGTTTCAGTGAATGTAAAATTATTCTACTTTTTGTTTTTGCTTAATTTAGTGGCTGTTTCATTTCGCGGAAGAGTAATGAATTATCTTTAACTTATGTTATTTATAAGTTATTGTTTTCTTAAAAAATGTATTCGGCCGGACCTCGCGGAGCTCGCTTTGTTTCTCCATGATCATTTTAAATTTAATTGTTCTAAATTTTAAATGTTTTATGTTTTATCCTTTCAGTCATTTAATTTTAAAACCTTTTTACATTAATTTTTAATATATATATATATATTAGATTAAGATTTATTCAAAATATTTGTGAGTGCTCGACTTCGCGCGCAAGTCGTCGGGCTACCGAAGCGGGGGTGCCATCCCTTCCGCAGAGGATCAAAATTGTGATGGCATGTCTTCGGATCATCCTCCGGGATGTTTCCCAGACCGTCGCCAATAGCCCATTGTGCAGCTCTAGTGCGACGTAAAGTAACAACAACAACGACAAAATATTTGTGCGAGATTCTTATTTAGAGAGCTCTTTTTGGCAATACAACCTCATGTTGCCGTCAGAGTGCACTGAAGAGTATGCTATCAATGATTTACTTTTAAAGTTAAAATAGAAAAAAAGGTTATTTTAGAAAAAAAACAAGAGTTTCAAATTTATAAAGAAAAAAAAACTCACTTTTTAAAGATCAACTAATTTTTATGATATAAAATTAAAAGTAAACTTAAGCAAAAAACATAATTGTTTATTTATTTAAAATATCTTAATCATTCATAATTGGTAAATTTGTTTTTATACATAATTATATCAGTTGGGATCACTTTTATAGCTGCTTAATATTATTCATCGATCAGTCTTTTTATAACGCCAATAGAAGTGGAATTTCTGCACCAAGAAAATGACTCTGAGTAAAAAAAATCGTTTGCAAAAAATTATGCACCTTCGCTAACAATTTTGAAGTCAATGGAGGTAACCTCTTAAACCAACGACAAACCTCCATCAACGACTATTTCACCGTGGAATGGTGAGTGATCGCTCCCGAGGGGTTTTCTTCTATTTAAACCATTTGCCTTACTTTATATTTTCCTTTTTACAGATAGATGGCGCCACCACAAAAATAATTATTTTTGAATCTGTTTTTAGATCTCTTGCTAAGAGACTTGCAGTACTTGTGTTTTTCACGGGGAGTTTTTTTATTGTATTATCTACTTTAAATTTTGTCTTGTTATAAAAATTTATACTAATATAACTGTTCGGATAAAAATTTCATAGATGTATAAAAACTATATAGTATTATTTCTCAACAAATTTACTTTTTAAAACAGGGTTTAGTTGAATTTTTTGCAAGGAAAATGAAAAAAAACTACAAACAATAATACGAACTAAGTTTGGGTCGGAACAAAAGGTTGGATAATTTCATTAAAATACGTTATTAGTGTATTATCTACATTAGAATTTCCCGTTTTGAAACGTAACATTTTAAACCTTAAATAATGAAAGCACGTGTACATTGAAAATAGAGAATGCAATTTTCACAACAGTAGACGAATTATATTAATTAAAGAAAATGTTCCAAGCTAGCAAATTCAGTAAAGAAAACCGCGGTAATTCTTCTTAAATTAATGGTCTTACAAATTCCATTAGTCACGATTCCCGTTCTGCTGAATTCTGGAATCAGTGACATGTAAATAGGGAAAATTCATTTCTAAGAATGCTTCTTCAATTGCTCCGCAATCATAAAATGTATGTATGGGCAATAATTTATGGGCGACCTTGTTAGAAAAGTTAGATTGGGCGTTAGTATAAGCGTAGAGTTTGTGCTCTCGTAGTTTTCAACTTTCGAAAGTTCTCGCGGTTCTCCAGAAACTAATTAATTACAATTTATCCGTAGATGAAAAGAACAACATTAAATGTGGTGAGTTAATTCGAAACAGAATAAATCATTATTGGTGTTTTCCCCAACATTACTTAATAGTGATATTTTCTTTGTAGAATAGAAATAAATAAATGACTATGTAAATTGTATAAATTTAAAAACTTTATTTATCATGCCTCGAAGATTATGTTACCCAGTAGATCCGGAAAATGTATAAATTACGATCAAATGTATGTTTTTACCTTTACATACCTATACAATTATTGATATAATTGTAAAACAAAATTATCAACTGCTTCGCAATGTTTTGTGTGGCGGAAGTTGTTGTTGTTGTTCATTTACGTCGCACTAGAGCTGCACAATGGGCTATTGGCGACGGTCTGGGAAACATCCCTGAGGATGATCCGAAGACATGCCATCACAATTTTGATCCTCTGCGGAGGGGATGGCACCCCCGCTTCGGTAGCCCGACGACCTGCACTTTAATGAGGCAATTTACTAGAACAGTTTAACGAGGACCAATACCGCACACCCTCGGTCCCTACGCAGGCTGATCCAAGTGGTCACCCACCCGCACACTGACCGCTGCCAGTGATGCTTGACGTCGGTGATCTGGTGGGAACCGTTTCTTAACGATCAGTCCACTGCGGGACATGTGGAGGAAGCAAAAACGAATAACAACTTTTGATTTTATGAGCAGATTCAGTCCCTGGTCAAATTATTAGACGAACTATAAGATTCTATGCAAAATCTTAATTATCAGGTGATACTATACAGCTTTATTGCTTTTTCGCGACAGCAACCGGTTTTGCACTTGTTTACGTTCGTATATAAATAGGTAAAATTAGACGATATATAATTTAAATTAGACGATTGGATTAGACGATATATTAAATAAATATAGGAGATTAATTATATCAGGTATTATATTAGTATATTATAATAATTAGACCAATTTATTAGACTCACTGTAGTTTTTTTAATAATTACATGTTTTGACCGAGTTTATATACAGTACTTTTATATTTAAACATATATGTAATGGGTTTTTATTCAGGACATTTTTATATACATCCCATTTGTATTTATTTTTAACGTATTACATTACAATGTTAATCTATTGATACACCAATGTAAACAAGTACAAACCGGATTCAGCAGCGTAAAAACAATAAAGCTGTATACATAGAATCTTATAGTGAGTCTAATAATTTGGCCAGGAGCTGTAGTAACATTCTAAAAGCCAATTTTAATTGCTTAATGTGCTGACGTAATTTACTAATTTGCGATAATTATTTAGTAAGGGCAAAATCATGTCCAAAAGCGTACTTTCTTTGAATAAACATAAGTAAATATTTGGAATCGTAACTGTCAAAGTGTGAGTGTTGATGCAATCTGGAAAATAACTTCGTAATAGTAAAGTTCATGTAATTTTCTGTAATTTTTCATTTAATAATGATTCTATTTTTTTTAAGTTTAAGGCCTCATTTGAAATTATTTGAATTTAAAAGACGACAATAAATGAGTTTATAGCTCAGAAACTTACTAACTAATTAAACTTTTTTAATAAATGTAGTTTGAAGTTTTTATTTCTAAAGAACTATTTACCTGATTTTGTCCGAATTGTTCATTTTCTCATTTAAAATTATGTAAAAGTTTGAAGTTCTTGCATTTCAAAAATTACTGAACAGAATTACAGAAAATGAATCATAATTCCTCGCAAAAGCTGATTTTAATTATCTTTGATCCAACTAGTCTATCTTTGGAGTTATCTTCGATTTTTATAATTGCGTAGAAGGAATTACTGAGACAAAATATGAACCATGCAGTTTCGAATTTCAGTAATGTTTTCTTTGTCTCGTGACAACAAATTCATTAAATATTTGAAAGTATAAAATGCAGATTTATATATTTTTGATAATTTTATATTATTTCTGACAAACTCAAATGTTGTTTTCTTTATAAAACCTTAAAACTTTTTAATTTTTCAAATAAATAAACGCTTACGAAGCTTTATAAGATTCAAAATTACAACATTAAATCATATTGATCACAAATTTTTCAATAAATAATAATAGTTATTCCATTATAGAATATAATTCCCGTGGTCTTTAATAATTTTTGTTAGCACATAAATTAGTTCGAATTTTAATGCATAAACGACAGAATGCATTCAATTCGAGCTATGTTATGGCTAATTGTGTATTTAGTAATAATAAGCATGTTGCGAAAAATTTTACATCAATTCACTGTATTAAAGTGTCAATTTTTTTAGTAAATATTATATACCGAAGTGATTAAATAACTATATACTTGTGATGAGTGATTTAAGGAGATTTCTAACACAATTTTAGATTAAATTTATTTACACATCTTAATAGAAAAATAAAATTTTCAAACAAAGGCAACTCTTTATACATTCTCCTTGTAGATGTTAATTCAGCATCTTTCATTATACCTAAAATAAATCAAATTTACAATTAACTTCAGATTTCCACTAAAAAATATAAACTATTTCTTTGAAATCGTTTTTATTTAAGTTTATAATGTTATTTTTTAGTATTTTGTTATTTCATAAATATCAAACAAAGTTATATTTTTCAGGACGACTTCATATTGAAAAAAAAATAATTTTCCTCCATGTTAAGCTACAAAGAAATAATGAGCCTGGAATATCCTTATTTATTCAAAAACTAATTAACAAAATTGACTCATTTTTGTTTCATATTTTTCATTGAAACATATCCTAGTTAAATATGTTACAAAATTTTAACTATTAAAGCTGTTAATATGTTAACACTTTTTTTAATTTTTTAATAGTTCTTGCTTGAAAATATTAACAACCATAAAATTTAGAATTTGTTAACTTAGTTCAATGGTACATATTTTAATGAATAAAATAAAACCAAATTTATTTAAAAATCATTGATTAGTTACTGAATAAATTAGAAATTCAGGACAAAAACTTTTCTGCAGGTTTATATGGAGAAAGTAAAACATTTTTTCTTATTGAATAGAATTTTTTTATATGAGGAAACATTGTATTATTTTAACCTATATATAATTTTAAAAAAACTTTCGTTAAACAAAATTGTTAGTATTGGGTGTTGCTTAAAAAATACCATCATATCTGCTTCCCTTTTCTGCCTGCATTTTTTTAAATTGAATTTGTAATTTATTTAATTAAATTGAGTTATTTTAAATTATGCTTAATTCAATAATTACTAACGTAAATGCTGTAATGTTATTTAATGCATTTAATTCTCTGACAATTCATTTCATCATCCATTAATAACTAAACAAGTCAAAATTTTTGATGGTTTTCCATTGATACACCAACATAATCTTGATGGCAACCATCAATAATTCGTTCATGAACCCTTATATCTTTGATGATAACCAAATAAGTAACCATCTCGCCAATGTAGAAATTCGGACTGATATACGATGGTCCAACATAAGAATAGAAACTTATTTTGATGGTTTGTTCATATTGAACCATCACGAATTTCCATCACAGTATCTTAGAAATCAAATGTTGGAATCATCGTGAACGACCATCATCTCAGTGTAGGAATTCGGATTGATTTAAGATGGTTCCACATTAAAAAAAAAACTAATTGTTTTAACTGCATATTCCTGAGATCCAGCATGCATTCCCATTAAGCCTTCATAGAAATGGATAGTTGGTGCATGATAGTCAAACGTCTCTTGCTGGTTAACCATCATAGTATTGAAGTAGCATTTTCCATCATGGGATGATGGAAATTTGTTGGCATATCAAAACAAATGAACATGAAATGGAAAATATTGGATAATGGTGACCATCAAATGATGTTGGACTAACATGGATCGGACTGAAACCCACATGAACCATCAAAGGGACCATCAAGAATTTTGACTTGGGTATCCATTAAATTTATCTAGGAATATATAGTATAAAAACTATTTCTGTTACTAGTTACTTATACGTCGTTTTCTGTGATTTTTTGAAATATGTATTTCTTTAAAAAAACTGAAATTGTCTCATTTAACACTCAACAAAAGCTATCTTTAATAATTTCTGAACATAATTAAATGTCTTACTCTACTATACCTAGAAACCCTTTTTCTAATTATGTCTACAGCTGTTAGAAAGGTAAAATGGTGCATACTGTTATAAACAGTATAATAAACGTATAATATAATCATATATAAACCGAACAGTAAAAATAAATTAGTTAACACATTTATTTTTAGTGTTGTAATACGATAAAACAAAATTATGGTACCTTTAAAAAAATGTAGAGAATTTTAAATATAATTCGATTTCAACAGCTCTCTCTCTTACAAACCCACTGATGATACAATAGATTAGATAAAAAGATAGATCTCATGATGATGATTGATAAGTAAATGTGTTTTTATCACTCCCTGCTATGATCAACAACCTCTTCACTCTGAAAGATTCATATAAATGTATAAAAATTTATGTAGTTATTGTAATTTTTCTTTAAACTCAATTGGAAAATATATGTATTAACTTATTCAAAATTATAAAATTTTAATTTGTTGATGCAAAAGTAAAAGAAATGTTTATTACGCAATACTTAATTTCTGTCACGTACTTCCATTTCTCAGAATATTGAACATATCTATATAGTAATGAGATTATAACCTGTATACTCATTAAAATAAAATTTGTAGGTTGTTCTGCAACTATTGCTTTTATACATTCTTGGACACCAAGCCAAACAATATATACGTTAGAAGTCAAGAGTAAATATTTGAGTGATAAAAGAACAAAGCCAATGGTATCAAATTATCTTTATAGTTTGTCTAAAGTAAGAACTCCCCGAGCCATTTGTCTGGATCCGTGGCGGTGACTATGATAACGAGGTATAACTATTTCAAGTAGAGATGTGGGAGATGTGTTTAAGGTCGGGTCGGCGAGAGAATCTTTTTCTTCGATTTGTTAGCCCTACAGTGCGTTATTCTTGTTTCCATACCAGCAGACGGCTTCAGACTTTGTGGCGGGGGGAGTTCTTACCGTAGACAAACTATAGTCAGTATTGCAAGACCAAAAACAACAAATTTTGTTTGAATGTTAGAAAAACAAGAATGGGGTTGATATTAGATAATTAGAAACGTCTCTAAGAGTCAAATTAATTCAAGGAGTTTCTTACCATTTGTTTTTTTCGTTCTTTGCTTAAATACTAATTAATGATCCCCATAGTGTGAAACACTGTAATATAAAGCACAGAAAAGTAGTCCGTATAAACTAAGGTAATTTTTAATAATTGATTTCACCCAGTGTTTGCAGAAAATATTAAATGGCGACTAAACATGGGAAATTTTATTTCTAAGACTTTTGACATTTTAGTTTTTTTATTTTTTTCAAACCATCAAAATAAGATCAGTTTATTTGTTTCAAAGTTTAGGCGAATAAATGTGGGCATATTATTTTCATATCTTACATCTCGTATAGTCTATAAGAAATTATTTAATTTTGTTGTGTTGTTACACCTCTAACAAAAAGAAACGTTTTTTGATGTATGATTAGATACCTAATCACGTATGGTGAAAATCCAAAGCTAATGTTAAAAATATTTTTCGTGGAAAAGGAATAAAACAAGTATTATGAAAATACTTTTTAAAGTCAATTCTTACTTTGATCAATAAAGAAAAATTTTATTTTAGTTACTTTTTATTAAAGAATTAAAATTTTCTTCTCCCATGTGAAACTAAAAATAATTAAATTTAATTAATGAATTAATATTTTGAAAAATTGTCTTAGCATCAAGAGTCATTCACTGCAAGTTTAAAAAATATATTTGAACTTGAGTGGATGAAATGAAAAATATTTTATTATCGATTGAAAATTTGAATTGATTCAACAAGTTCTAATAGCAGGAATTTAAAGAATTATTGAATTTTATTGTGTTATTATACCTCTGACAAAAAGAAACATTTTTTCTTATAAATGATTAGATCCCTAATCACGTTTGCTGAAAAAGCAAAACTAGTGGTAAAAACATGATTTGTGGAAATGGAATAATAAAACAGGTAAATCACTGTACGTAGAAACTTCTTTCTAACTGCTTTCCGAGATTGAAAACTATTATTTACTACTACAGTAAAACTTGCGTAAGTTGACCACTTGTGGTGCATTGTTTTAGTGGTCAACTTAGACAAGTGGTCAACTTATAGAGGGGGCGGGTCATTGTTTACTTTTTTGTTCCCTATATCATGTTGCTATATATTTAATATTTTTTTACTTGACTTAAAAATTTTATTCAGAAAATATGCAAATGAGTATCGTAAGAAATGTGTTTAAACCTGAATGAACTTCAATTTGATACATATAATTCGAATATTTAACAATTTTTTTTAAAAAAAAATTATTTCGTTAGATATGCATGTGAAGTATTTAATAAATATAATTTCTTAAAATATCAGAGCACGAAAACATGTAATTTGAAAACTTTAACGAAATAAAATTATTTGAACACTTTAAAATTTATTTAATACACTTAAAGATCAAAGACCATAAATAAAGGATCAGAGCATATTTCAGAGCAACTTTTCAACTAACACACCTGTTTTCAATGAACGGATGAAAGAAATGATCAAAAGCTGACCCCTTACAGTTTCCCCTGATGGTCAACTCACAAAAGGGTTTAGATTAGCTTTTTACACTATTTCACCAAACAAGTGAAATTTTAACATACATTGCCAAAATGACAGAAAATTTTCTGAATTTTTTTTTCTGGTCAACTTATGAGGGTTTTAGAATAGAATTTCATAATACTCCTAGACAAAATTGACTTATTTCAGTGGTCAACATACAAGATAGACAGGTGGTCAAGCTACAAAGGTTTTGCTTCTTTATATTATATAGGAAAAATTCCGTTCTTGATAATTGAGATCAACTTATGCAGGTGCCCAACTTACAAGGGTGGTCAACTTGGCAGGTTTCACTGTATTATGAAACTATTACTACTATTATGAAAACTATTATTTGTTTTTCTTATCAGTCTGGATTTCTAGAAAAAACTACACTTAATACCTAGACCAGGAAGATCAACATTTTTTAAGAAACTGATAAGAAAAATATCTGTCAGTTTAGCTTTCTCGAAAGTAGTTATAGTTCGTTCACCAGGAGCTAGCACTTGGCTCCGCCTTCATCACGTGGTATCCAACGATACTATTTCGCTATGTTTGGGAGAAAGATGTGAACAATCCTGCTATTTGGCGATCATATGACAAAAATATTTATTTCGTAATCTTTATGCGCATTTTTTAACATTACATATTTTATAAATTTGATGTTATTTCTCTCTTTTGAGTGAATAGTTTGTTCTTTTTGAGATATTTTGCTGCATGCCATAAAAAAGCCGAATCAACAGCTTGACGAAAAGACTGAAGAATAGGGATATATAGCTAGAGTAACGAAAGGTATAATAGCAAATGTTAAAGCGAAGTAAGTGACTGAAAAATAATTCACCATTTGCATTTGGCGCGCATTAAGGTTTGTCTCAATTTCAAGGGCGGGGACGTTTCTCCTCTCCCGTGCTGAAATGAACTCTTCGTTCGAGAAGGTGGAGTCAAGTGCCACCTCATGGTGAACGAACTATAGACTGAACATATTTCTGCATTCAGTGATTTCTTAGTTTCAGAGATAAAAATTAGGTAGGAATAACTCAAATATCTTCTGTTAGCCAGAAATAAAATCTTGAAAGTTTAAAGTGACACGTTTATTACCTCTTCTTCTTGTATGCATGGTTTACACATACTTATCTCATACTGAACTGATTTTTTAACAATTGACGTTTCATACAGAAATTCTGGAGAAGTTTTTGACGTTAGATCAATATATTCTGAAAGAAAAGTAATCATTTATATTATTATTTTAAATTCATCTCAGTATATCAATTTTTACTAATACTTTATTTATTCAAAATTAAACTGTATATATTAGCATCGCCAAACGGAACAATAATATACATTATTTATTTTCTAAAATATACAGTAAGGGGAAAAGGAGATGAAAAAATTCGTTTTTCCTTTTTTTTTTTAAACAACTGTGCTTTTATTTAAAGCATGTCTAGACTAATACCGTATGCTAAATTAATAGATTTACGCAACCAGCCGCTCTCCTTTTGCATTATTGGAAAGGTATCTAGCGCATTTTATAATCAGCCTAAAACGTTTCATATCGATTGCAGAGGATCCACAAAATTTCAGGCTAATCAGGAAATGCGTCTGAATTATTTAAGGTATTTTTCAATAACACAGAATTGCATGACGTAATTCCCTTAATAAAGGCATAATGCAACTAATCTATGCAAAACAGTCAATATTTTATCGAAAACAGTCTAACCTAAAAAAATATCGAGCAAATTAGAAAACACTGAAAGTTTTCCCAATTATCTTGGCACATTGCAAGGAGGTCAATTTCTAAATTAGTCCATGACATATATTCTTATGAATGTAGTATGCACTCTTTTTGTAGTTCGTGAATAAGTTCTGGCTTTTATGGCCGGGATAGCCTGGTTGGTAGGGCACTAGGCCCAGGTTCAAGAGGTTGTGGGTTCGATCCCCGCTTTCCGAAGACTCCCCGTGTAGTAAAGGGTGACTGATGCACGTCAAATCTGTCAGGTTGCATAGTCCTCTATGTTCCCTTAACAAATCATACCTATGGGGGTAGTGATCCAGGAGTTCCCTTGTCTTCTGGATTGGGTTTAAAATTACACAGCTACGGAGTTGAATATTAGCAGTCGCAAACCCTAAATTGAATCGGCTGTTCAACGACTGTTATAAAATAAAAAATGTCGGCTTTTGACTCCACAGATTTGCAATCATCGTAGTTCTGACGTCATTATTTGTTCCAAATAATATTCTACAAATTCTGGATCGGAGTTATCTTTTATACGATAACAGGTACTACTACTATGCCACGCCTTTTGCAGTTGAGTTTAGTGTTATTGGTATGTAACAATAAAATAAGTAAATAAAAAAATGCGAAATAATTTGAAGTCAATGATTTGCAATCGTCAGTTTGCAATCATCGCAATCATTGCAATCAAATAATATTCTACAAATTCTGGATCGGTGTTATCTTTTATACGATAACAGGTACTACAACTATGCCACGCCTTTTGCAGTTGAGTTTAGTGTTATTGGTATGTAACAATAAAATAAGTAAATCAAAAAATGCGAAATAATTTGAAGTCAATTGTTGTCAAAGAAAGAAAATATTCATCCACTTGTTCAATTTCTACGTAACTGTACACAATTTAAATAAGATAAGGTGCATTAGTTTTTTTGATCAATTGTGTTCAACGATTTTCGAAATGGAGTTATCTGACAATCCATTTTTCGCTTTCAGCCAATCGATCCTACCGACAAGAATCTCTACATCCTCTCGCTCTTTCTCGCAGAGTTTTACTCCGAGTGGCTTAAGTTTAAGAAAATACTCTTAAAGTATTGTTTTTTTTAAGATTAAATTTAAAGGTTTGAAAATGCCAAAGAATCTTATTTTTTTTGAAAAAACTCCTCAACTCATAACCTATGTTTCTCAACCGGAGCCTTAGTTGATTGGAATTGAAATTTTAAAAAAAAAGATAATATAAAAATGTAAATGCAAAGTGGAATTTGGAGTATCTACCCTCAATTGTTCGAAGTAGGTTTGCTTTCCTTTTATATCGTGTACTATAAGAACTAGAGATCTATTCAGAATATTTGTAAAAGAACCTGTTGTTAATTTTTAAAAATATTTGCTCATTTTCTGAATCTAAAATTATAATAGAATAGCATTTATGTCAAGTTCCTTTTATGTGAATGTGTAAAAATTATTTCTAGTCTTTAATATACAAAAATAAATGTATGTTTCAAGAATTTAAAATCTAATCAGTTCTAAACTTGTTTATTTTATCTTTACTTGAGGCAGAACTTATTTAGTTAAAATAAGTTTTACTTTAAAGTTTAATCATCATTAACTCACTCGATTTTTTAAAAGGAATTGTTCATGAAAGGTTAATAAATTATTTTTTGATTTTAGATATAATATTTTGTAAATAGTCCGTGTTTATGATAAAATATATTTGAAAGAGTTTGTTTTTAAGATAAAATAATTTGTGAAGAATTCGATTTCACAATTAACTATTTTCTAAAGAGTCCGTTTTTACTACGAAAAAATTAGTTGCGAGATGTATTTTGACCTTAATTTCATTTCTCAAATTTGATAATCGAAACGCATTTCAACACATTGAAATAATAGTAACAATTTTTTTTTATTTCATCGTGTTACGTTTAGAAAAAATCTCTCATTAATACAAAATACTTAAAGCGTATAAAAAACTCGTTTCGAGAAGTTTTGATGATGTTATTTTTTATGAAATGTTTTTACAAACATAAATAAAAACATTTCTTAATATAACAATTAATGTCCGATGGTCCATTTACTTGAAAAAATATTCTAAACATATGAAATTGACATTAGGCGGGGGTACCGGACACTTCCCTACTAAGATTGAATTCTTAGTAACAGTGAAACAAAATTCTTAGAATCGTTTGCATCATTGAAAATTAATCTGAAATAGATCAAATATTTGTCAGCATTTTTTTTCTTCAATTTATCTAATTGTAAACTCTTATGACATTATTTATGATTAAAATACATGAATAAGTTGTAGTCATCTCTAATCTCAAATCAATCGATTGCAAATCGAAGATATTTTTTAACTCACAATGGTTTTTTTACTTTTTATTGAACGTAAATTTATCTTGTGAACCCTATTGCATTACAAAATATAATAAAAATTTAAAATACGTAATAGTTATACTACCTGTACAATGCGCAAAATGAAAAAGATGCAANTTTACTTTTTATTGAACGTAAATTTATCTTGTGAACCCTATTGCATTACAAAATATAATAAAAATTTAAAATGCGTAATAGTTATACTACCTGTACAATGCGCAAAATAAAAAAGAATACTTTTCTAATGGTAGGATATTTGCAAACTAAGTGCCGATCATCGTGGTTTAAAGAAACAATTTTGTATGTACAAATTATTTAGGGTTACCTGTTAATTAATTTACAGAATAGGACAGAAAAACGTATTTTCTCTTTTCAAACAGACTCTTTTTTAAAAGATTTGTATTTTTGTCTATCGAAATATCAAGAGCACTCTGTGCAGTAAAATTATTGAACTTTACATTGTAAACAGGGTAAGTAA